TGTTCTGTTCTCGCGTCGGACGACGTGCGGAGCCGCTCGTTTAGAATTTCAGATCAGTTTATAGTATATGATAATCCGGCTGCGTGCCGCGTTGAAAGATTAGTGATGGTTGATCAGCGCCGCGACATAAAACGCGATGCAAATCTCGGCAAGTATCTCGGGTGTATTTTGGATAGAGCGTTCCGCGCCTGGCGGTCTTACCATTTTTTGACTCGCAGCTGTTTCCGCTATCTCGCATTTACGATGATTGCTTTATTGGTCTGCTATATTAGCGTGCGTGGACTGTACGGAACAGCGCATTACGTAGCACTAAGGGGTAGCTATAGCGGCATTGATTCGCGATTCAGTTAAGGTAAAACTGTATACGCGCGCTGTACATGTCGAAATCAAGAATGATATTGGGGGGAAATTATTTCCGCGCGCGGAATACAGATGGCCGCCGCTGCGCGCGCGTCAATCCCCGTGCCACGTGACGCGCTCGCGCCGAATTTACGAAGGAACGGCGAAGGATCTATGTCATATTATGTTACGAGTCGGGCTGTTTGAGTGTGACGATATTTAGTGGCTAGCTAATGGTGGCTCTTTAGGGGGAGGTAATCCTGCTTAAATGATGTTAAATTGCGGTCAGGTCGGGTGTTATTAATTGCGTTACTGGTTGTAGATTATATTAGCGACCAAAAGTATGTCCGTTGGAAATCTGCCATCGGGGGCTCGATTAGGTATGACACCAGCGCCAGTGGCTGCGGACTCAAAGCTGCAATCACGACGTCGAGGGATGGCTGGGAGTTCAGGGGTAGGGAGCGAGTTGTGGAGCTGGTAATGAGACTCTGTTGGGAGATAGGTCAGACGAGAGAGAAAGAGAGAAGAGAGAGAGAGAGAGCGAGTGTATAGTGGAGCGTAGTGTATGAGAGGGAAGGAGAGAGGAGAGAGCGAGGGAAGGAGGAGAGAGAGAGAGGGAGGAGAGGAGCGGAGTGAGTGAGAGAGGAAGAATGGAGAGGAAGATAAGGAGACGGAGAGAGCAGAAATCAGAAGCGTAATAGCAGGAGAGGAGGAGAGAGGCGAGGGCGGAGGCGAGTGAGTGAGAAGAGAGAAGGGGAGAAAGATCTAGGAAGAGAAGGGAGAGAGAGGAGAAGAAGGAGGAGAGAGGGAGGAGGAGAGAGCGAGGAAAGGGATAGAGGAGAGATGAGAAGAGAGAGAGAAAAGAGGAGAGAGAGAGAGACGAGAGAAATAGAGAGTGTTTGGAGGAGAGAGAGACAGAGAGAGAGTGAGATTGAGGGAGGGGGAACTGGGGAGATAGGGAGAGAGGAGAGAGGAGAGACGAGAGAGAGTGAGAGAGAGCGAGTGATCCGACTGAGAGAGAAGGAGAGAAAGATAAGGAGAGAGAGAGAGAGAGAAATAGAAAGCGAAATAGAGGGAGAGAGGGAGAGAGGGAGAGAGGGAGAGAGGGCGAGAGAGAGAGATAAAAAGAGAACGATCAGGAGAGAGAGAAAGAGAAAGCGAAAGAGAGGGGGGGAGAGAGAGAGATAGGGAGGCAGGGAGAGAGAGTGTGTGTGTGAGTGAGTGAGAAAGAGAGCGAGAAAGAAACTAGACTGCAGCGCCGAAAAGCATCGTCATTGGCTGGAAGCCCGCCGGCGATATCGCGTCTCCTATTTATGTTCATGAGAAACTTGCAGCGTTCGAACTTATCACGGACATGTGCCGGGGACGTGGTGTGAATATCCAATGTGATATTACCTCCCGGCGACGTGTAAGCGTATGCAACTGGCGCTCTGCAAATACGAACTAATTGCGCCTAGCGGCAACGACGCGAACTATCCACGCGGGTGTAAAATACACAATGGCGCAAACACCGAGTAGAGTCTTGAGAGAGTTAATTGACAATTAGTTAGTTAATTACTATATATATATACACACACATATATGTATATATATATATATCGAATGTGTGTGCGCGTCCATATGCGTGCATGCATCTGTGCTGGTGCGTCGGTGCAGACGAGCAGGTCATGCATGTGTTGTGTTAGCTCTAGTACTATAGCCCTCGTACAGTTGCCGCAGGCCTGCACTCCTGCACTCCTGAAGTCCTGCGGCAACTGTACGCGGGCTATAGTACTAGAGCTAGTGTTGTGTGTGTGAGAGTACGTGCGTGCATGCACTACCACATTATTAGGTAATAATTATGCAACCTGCAGCCATAAAGGAATACGCACGCACGCACGCACGCACGCACGCACGCACGCACGCACGCACGCACACACACACACACACACACACACACACGCACACGCGCGCGCGCGCGCTCGCGCTCACACACACACATACACACACTACACTAGACCACTAGGGGCGGTCAGTTGCTGTGCAAGCGTACAATTTTCGCGCATTTGGAAGCAATAAATTGGAGTGGGCATGTGGCGAAAGTTGAAACCAACGGATAGAATGACGTTGTCGTGACTCTAATGAAAGATGCGCTTAAGAAGCGGGAGGAGAAGGAGGGCGTGGGTGTCTTTCTCCCTCTGACAGTTATACAGCTGGCATAACACTGCAGTTTCTAGAAATATTGGCGCAGTAAAAAGACATTTGGTTCGAATTTTCTGTAAGAACAAAGTACCGTATCTCGTTGCTATTTTTACGCACTTGGCGTCACTGCCCATGGGAAGCGTCGTATATAGGTCAGAGTCTTGAAGAGCATTACAACAGCAGCGTCCCACACGGCGAATATTACGTGTGGGTAAGTGACTGCACGCATGCATCGCAGTTCGGGCATTCCATCAAATGCACGCGTGCACGGCGTCCCGCATTACTGGTAAAGTATCAATATTTTACGATGGTCTCCAGTCACAATACGTTCATCATTTAATACACACGGAATTGTGTTAAATCGTAATGTGTGCCGTAGGTCAAGAGTGAGACGAAGCCTCCTGGCGTGAACCATGGCCGTGAGCGTGTAACCTCGACCTTCAGCTAGCAGTAGTATTCGGCGAAACAGAAGTATTTTCATCATGTGTAGTCGGGTCTGTTCCGGAAGGGTCGAATAAATTTGCGGCGATAAGAGTAGCTGATCCTTTCTCATAAACGCGCCTGGCCAATTCATTGGCGTTTTCGGGATAACCCAATTCAATAATCCATAAAAGGGTCCTTTCACGACGTTCTAAAAGCGTTAATAAACTGGCCTTTGTGCGCGTTTGTAGCGCGCGGAGAAATACGTTAATGCGAATATGAATTTGTTACGCGGTGGTGGGCGGCGGCGGCGCCACGATGGGAAAATCCATCGCTTTGCAATCTCCCGTTTCCCAGGCACGAAATTCACCACAAGAAATGCCGGGCGTGAGATGATGGGAGAATAGCTGCCTGATCAAAAAAGGCAAGCTTGACGGGGAACCTCCGAAGTGGCCGACGTTAAAAAACACGTTCGCCGTGCATGCCCGTTTCGCGGCCGTATAGCATCAGATTAAACTGAAACGTTTTACAGCGTTAATGCCTAATTCGATTGTAATGCGTACACGCGCTCCGAGTTCGTATCGCCGGACGTAATATTCGAATAAATCTGATTACGTCCTATCAGTTGCGCGTATGTTAATCGAATGAATATCGGATAAGATTATCAATCATTTCACACACCGGCGAAACTTAGTACAAGTCTTCATAGTAAGCGCTGCTTGTTGCTTCAAACGAATTATTCCAGCAGTTGACATGTGTCTACACGCGAACAAAAGTTGCTTGAGACAGGTAGAATGGCAGGCGATATAAGTTCCGCATGCGCATTCTAGACTCCGACTAAGTACATGGAAATTGCGGCAAGACGTCCAAATTCTTTGGGACAAAGACGCAGACCGATGCTGAGATAGGGTAGTCTCGATGGGCGGGAGCCGCGCAGGAGGGGAGGGTGCGCACGCGGGGACAGAAATAGACAAGAGTGGGCGAGGGGGAGAGCGAAACAGTTTAGAGGGAGACGGAGAGAGCGAAAATTAGAGAGGGAGAGAGCGAGAGAGAGAAAAGGAGAGAGAGAATGAAAGAAATAAGGGGAGAGAGAGAGCGTGCGCGAGAGAGAGAGAGAGAAAGAGAGAGGAGAGAGAGAGAGAGAGAGAGAGAGAGAGAGAGAGAGAGAGAGAGAGAGAGAGAGAGAGAGAGAGAGAGAGAGAGAGAGAGAGAGAGAGAGAGAGAGAGAGAGAGAGAGAGAGAGAGAG